CAGTTTGACACGAGTTGTTTGGGTTTTGGTAAAGTATGGCGAGTAGAAATAGTGATTTCCTTCAAAGACCACAAATTGCTTCTCGCTCTGGGTAATGTGAGTGGGGTAGGGCTGCAGGACGTGCGTGAAAACCATTTCAACAGAGACACGGACCTTGGCCCCTGGTGCCAAAGGAGATGGCAGCTTCACAGTGAAAAACTTCCCACTGCAAAGAAGAAGAGGCAGTGAGACCTCCCCAAAACAACAAACAGATCCAACCCTCTGCGAGATCCCCTGTGCATGGAAACACCTAAGATTCTGTACTGGATATATGCTGTGCGACTGGAGACAATGTTACATTTGCTCCTCAGAGGCCTCATTCAAGAGGGTGATCTTATTCTGTACCAAGAGGGCAGGACGAGGGAAAACACAGGGTGAACTGTGTTTGGGCACAATTATAGCCTCTTTCCCAGATATCTGGGTATCGTTTTGGTACTGGAATGGTGTTACGCTCCTGTCTCTAGTTCTGCATTAATAATGCATGCTTCAGTGGCATTTTCCCATTCTCCAGATGACAAGAACGATATGAATCAGAAACAGCATGTGCAAATGTGCTTGAGATGTCTATAATTTGTCTTCTGAACATGTTCCACCAAATCTTTATTTTCAGCTTTTGCCCACAGGAGCTGAAACCAAGGTACTGTTAGAAAATGATCACAGTCTTGGAATGGAATGTACTACACAACGCATTGAGGCTTCACCAAACTGCTAAGTATGTACCAGGCGGACTGAGGTGATGTGAGCAGCAATGTGGATTTCATGCCATGCCTGGTGTCCCACATGCAGAACAACATGAGGCTTCCTGCTATCAGGAACCCTGATCCACCTGACCAGTGTAACTGCACAGCTACCATTCCCTTACCATTCATCAGCACTGCACTGCTGACCCACTTTTTAAAAGATCCTTTATTTCTCAGCACGGCTTAGAAATAATGTGCTGGTCCTGTCTTACAACCCATGCACAGCATCCCAAAGTTGGCAGAGCAGAGCCCCGGGCACAAGACAGTGTTCTCTGTCCCTGCAGCAGGGATTGCAGTACCCCACACACTGTATTACTTTTCACATCACAGACTAAGAACAGTGCTTGGGGACACAACCAAAGAGCATTTCTAATTTGTCGTAATTGCTGCCAATCATCTGAGACCCCAAAAGGCATTACTGCAGCTATAATTCTTCCCACCTACTGCTCTTTAATGAAGGAACAGGATGTTACTTAGGGGCGTGGTTGAGCAGGCATGGTTGTGATGGGCTGACAGTTTGAATGGATGATCTTAGAGGTCTTTTCCAATGTTAATGATTCTGTGATTCTTACGGGGCCTGCGGGGAGCAGGACCTGGGCCTGGCTGCTCGTGTTCCTTAGCCCTGCAGTCAGCACGGAGCTCATCTCAGCAACGAGCACAGGGCTCTCCCTGCGCACGGAGCTGTGGAGCACTTCCGTCTCACCCCGCGGACAGCGCTGCAGCCCAGATGTGTAACTGCAGGTACGGTCCTCTGAGCGTGACACTCACCTTTTTCCCTTCACTTTCGTCTCTTTCACTTCCAAGATGTTCTCCTCCTCTTCCTCGCCCTTCACCTGTTCCAGAACACACCGATCAACGCGCTGCCCTTTCAATCACCGAAGGCAGCCGGGTCGGACCCCAGACGTGGCTTTTAAGGGGCCGTTCCCGCAGAAGCTGACAAGAAGCACCCGCCGCCCTCCCGCTGCCCGGACTCAGCACCTCGGCCCGCTTTGTTCCTCCCGATCGCGGGTCCTCCCGCTGCCGACGTGTCCCGGCGGTGCGGCCCGGGGCGCGGCGCTATGCCGACGTGGCCCTGCAGCCCCGGGCCGTGCTGCGGCTGTCCCGGCTCGCGGGGCTCCCCGCCGCTTCCCGCACTCACCTGCACGCCCAGGTAGGCCAGGCGCGGCTCCAGGCCCGGCTCCAGCGCCAGCAGGAAGGAGGAGGCGGCGGGGCCGCCCGGTGCGTTGGCCAGGCTGAGCTCGGCCGACACCTTGGCCAGGTGCGTGCTCAGGTCCACGGTGCGCCGCGCCTCCTCCAGCTGCAGGTCGGCGGCGGCGGCGGCCCACACGGCCGCCAGGCAGAGGAGCAGGCGGCAACGCAGCCCCGCCATGGCCGACGCGTGCACGGGGAGGGCACAAGATGGCGGCGCCCGCGCTGTACGGGGAGGGCACAAGATGGCGGCGCCCAGCGGCATAGGAGACGCGCGATGGCGGCGCCCGGCAGCGCGTGAGGCCCCCAGCGGGGAAGGTGGCCTTGCGAGTGCCTGAGTAAAAAAAGGGGGCCGGAGGCGTGGTGCTTTGTGCTGTCCGCGTTGCAGAGAAAAGCGGAGGGCGATGTTGTCTGCCGTGACCGCTGTGGCCCGGGACAACGGGCCGTGAGTGTTTTCATAACGTGCTTCAGGCCCTGGCCTTGGTTTAATATGTTGACGCGAGCTACAGAGATAATGCTCTGAATTGGGCTGAGGTTGCCAAGGGTCGGATCGGAAGCGGATTTCCTACATGAGTTTGGAGCTGGAGTCACACGGCCCCTTGGCAGCGGTGAAACCAAGTGGGACGTTTCGTGGTGTGTTACGTTCTGAACAGCATCACCTCTGAAGCAGCCTGCTGGCTCTGATCCAGGCGTTGCACAGCACTGCTGCATTTTAGGGCTCCCTCTGAGTGTCTGTGTGGGTTTTGTGTGGAAGTGTCCTCTCCAGGAGCAGCTGTCCCTGCCCTTCCTCCAACCCCAGCCTCTGTGCCACAGGGAGTAAATGAACTCCAGACTGCCTTTATTTCCCCTCTCTCCCTCAGGGAGATTTCTCCTGGCAAATGGAGGGAAAGAAATAATACACATTCCATTGTGTCTGAAGATAATTGGGTTTCAGTTGTTATATCCAGGGCCAAAAGTTGGATTTGGCCCAGATCCTGATTCTGAGCTAGCTGGCAAACACGGCATTTCTAAACCTGACCCATCCCAGACCCCAGAGAGCTCTGAGTCAGGCTGTGATACGCTCACCCCATGCTCAGATCCATTCTAACTGTGATAATTGAGTCATGCTGAGTCTGTGTAGCATCTGCTCCCAGCTCTACCACATTGTCTAAATTTATCCTTAGGCTCAAAAGCCACTGCTTTTAGGATTCTTGCTTGCAGAACAGGTTTTGCTTGCAGGCCCCTCTCACTGCTGCCCTGCACCCAGCGTGGATGTGGTGTAACATGGTGCCAGGCTACAGCTACTTGTGCTGAGTTAAGGCTCTCAGAAGGCACAAGAGAAACTCTGGCTAGGTTTGCTGGTTACATCTGCTCAAGCAGGAAGGGAGAGGCTGGGTTTAAACATGAGAAGTGCTGCGGGACCCTGGCCAGATGCTGCACACTAATTGTTCCAGGCTGCAGGGCCAGCATCCCTTGTCTTAGCCGGTCCCCATGCCCCAGCTAGGTAGCTCAGCTCCTCTGCCATCTGCAAAGGATGTGGTGCAGGGAAAGTGTGTCACCCTCAGGGACACCGAGCACTGGGAGGGGATGGAGCTGGTGCCAGCCCAGCATCTGCTGGGCCTGAGGGGCAAGAGCAGTGTGCCAGAGGGATGCAGAAGCATTCCTCTCTCTCCATTAGCCCCAGACCATTGAGGTTTTGCAGTCCCAGCCCTGAGGCTATAGGTAAGACTGACAGCTGAGTTTGCTTAGCCTTGCTAAGGCCCTTGAGAAACAGATGGGGAAAAAAGAAAAAAAATAAAATAAAATCAAATTTTGTTATTTTTACAACCTCATTTTTCAGCTAATCAGCACAACTCACGCACAGCTTTTGCCAAGGAAAACATGCTGTAATTTCTGGTTCGGGCTCAGGAGAGGTGGGTCTGGAGGGGGCTTTTTGGGGCTCACTGCTGCCCTGTGTTCATAAGCCCTGAAAATGTGTCCTGCTTCCACAGAGACAATGCTAAAGGGTGCTTTATCTGTACAAAAAGTAGAAATTTTTTGCTTAGATGTTTAATGCTTACTAGAAATGTAACTGAAATGGCTACAGATGAGCACTGGTGGTCTGCTTGTGGAAGAAATCTACACAAGAGGTGAAATGCTTGAGCATAGAAGGGGATGTTGCCCATTTGAAGAGATGGCTTCAGTTCGGCTGGATTTGGGTTTTGTTGCAGGATCAGACCATACTTTAGAGACACGAACTGAGCAAGTTTGATTATATGAGAAAATCAGGGTGTGATCACAGCTGCCACTAACGTACCTCCGAGTGCTGGCAGGGCCTGATAACACACAACATTCAAACCGCTCTTAACGTGTGATCCGGCCCTTTGCATCACACCCCTGCTTGAAAATGCCTTTGGCAGATTGGATCCTGCAAAGCCAGAGAAGGCATAAGGGGAACAGAGTGCAAATCTTGGCTTGAAATGTTAAATTCTGCCTTTCCGCAGAGCCAGCAGCGCAGGGAGGCTGCTATCCTGCCAAGCTCTACGGCTCACGTCCCCCAGCCTTCCCTGCCGTGCCGTGCTCCGCGGCCATGCCCCTCGCTCTGCCCCAGCTTAGCAGCGCTCGCCCCCGCCAGCCCTTTGTGTCCGCATCCCGCCGCCAGGGGTCGCCCAAGCGTCCCTCAAGCCGAGGAGCGCGGCGGGGGCGGTGCGGTAGCGCAGCCCCGCCCCTTGGTGAATAGCGCGCTACGCCGCTGGCGCACGGAGCTGCGCGCATCAGTCCGGCTGTGTGGTTCGGTCTGACCCGTCATCGGTGGCACTGCGTTTTCCTTTCTGATCCTTTAAGGCCCTGCAAACGTGGGTGCTAGGAGTCACCTCGTATCTAGTGCAGTCCCAGGGCCGTGATCCTGTGTTTGGTGTCAGCAGGGCGTGCTGAGGCATAGTCCCATGTTGCTTGCTCTGTTTCTTGGTGCAATAACCGAGCTCCTATCTTTGCACGGAACTTCTCAGCTTTTCTCAAGAAAGGAGAGCACTTGATGTGTATTTATCTTGGAAGCTTTTTTTTTTTTTTTTTTTTTTGTGGAGTGTGTTTTCTGTTTGCCAGAAATTCAAGCAGGGACATGAAACCAGTTCTGAGCACTGGAATAACTATTGAAGCTTTAACATCCAGCCACAACCATTTCAGTTTTAGATGATAGTGTTTTGCTGGACATACCTTCAATTTGGTGGCTCAAGGATTTGCAAACAATGAGTCATAACTCCCTGGGATCGAAATTGCAGCTGCTGGGGCACCAAGCATTGAAAAGTGTGGTCCAAGATAGAGCAAAGTAAACCTCACTGCCCACACACCCTTATCCTTCAAGGCTGAGTATCTTTGCAACACTCTTCAAAAACATGCACACAAAATTATACGGTTGCTATTGATACAGAACTTACTTCTCCTTTTAGAGCAGATAAGAGGGAATTGCGAAAATCTGTGATTTGAAAGAACTGAAGCAGATGGACCTGAGGCCAATATGCAGCACCCTGTGCTTGCAGGAAGGCGGCTGGATTGTGAGAAAGGTGTTGTGCTATGGTATGTGGCCAAGCCCTTCTGCCCAAAGAGCCCCCAGGGCCTCTGCAGACCACGTCTGGCCCTTCACATCCAGGATGGACCTGCAGAAAGCGTATGGAGGTGGTTTGGTTCCAACTCAAGGAGAGCTTCCCCTCTTCGAAATGCCTATGGGACACTTTTTTGGCATGGACTGACTGCTAAAGAAGCTGCCTGCAAGTCACCTGTACCATAAAATATCCCACTTGCAGCGCTCACATGGCATCAGGGCCCTGTTGTGTGACACATTCTGGGTACAACAACAGCATGACACAGCCACCTTTGCCACAAAACCGCCTGGCTGCGGGGCTCACGCGGCTGGTCTGTGCAAGGGAGAGTGGCAGGATACAACCTATGGGTCCTGCAGGCTGTTACAGGCCTGTCTGGCCTGGCCCTGTGGCTGCAAATCCACTTATGTCATGAGCTGGGAGATCTCAGACACACCAGACCTTCACTCTCATGGCTTCAGAACGTGGTAAGAACAGAACAAGCTGCTGTAACAAAAGCTTGATTCCTGAAAGGTCTGTGCCATTCTGTGCTGGCTGTGTGCACTGCTCTCTATTTTTATAGAATTTCTAGGGTTTAAAACATTATTTACAAACGTCCCTATTTAGAGGGACCTAGATCTGACAAGGTTACTGACTCACTTCAGCCTCAGGGAAGTTACTTCACCCCTGGATCATCTTTTCCATTTGAGTACTGAGACCAATCATGTAAAATTACCCGGCAGACTGCCAATGCAGCTGTAAAAATTAATTACCCAGTATTTAGCACTGCGTAAGAAGTGGGAAGCTGCTGCTGTTGGAGAATCTCTGTACCAGGGAGGCCAACTCACAGGTTCTCAAGTGACCGTCACTATTTGTGGGACAGCCTCTTGACATGAATGGAATGTAGGCACCTTTCTGCTCCGTAGCCTGAAGTCTGAACTACAAAAACATGCCTTTGTCCTGTGACACTTGAGTTTTCTGTGGGTTTTGGCTCCCACCAGTCCAGGCTCCAGGTCGCTGTGGTGGTGACAAAGCTGTGTGGTGGCTGTTTTACTTTGGCACTTTACATTTTACAGAGGCAATTGCTTCTCCCCGCTTGCCATGCCACAGCCAGCATAGGCACTCAGATCTAAGAGAATGCCCCTGTGAGTCTCAGGCCTCAACAGATGCATTTAGACCCTTTATCAGTGCTTTGTTTTTATGATGTTCAGCCTCCAGCAGCTGCATTTCATCAGTGAGCAGAGATGCCAGTAATCCCTTGTGCTGTACCTAGCATTCCCTGCACCTCGAGAGAAGCATGGATTAGAGAGATCTGGCATAAGATAACATGATTGCAGTCGCTTCCTGTGGTTGGTATCTGGTGATCTAGTCTTGTCAAGAGCTGGAATTTTACTTTCATGTGTTGCTGCTGTAAGATTTAGAAATCAGCTAAGGACTGCAAAGGAGAAAGCATCAGTAGATTACCAGAGCAGTATTTGTACTGCAGGCAGGGATTAGAGAAGAGGGCAGGCGAAAGACTACAGCTGTGCTTTTGCCAGTGGAAATGCTTATGTGGTCATGTAAGAGCAGATTTCTAGTGAACAAAATGCCAGAAGAAGCAGGGTGAATCTGATTTAGCTTGGAGTACAAAAAGGAGATATTGTGTGTTTGCTGCAGCTTAGTTCCTTTTTTAAATTTTATTTTAGCAAGTCCTAGCATTATAATGATAATTTGAGGAAGCTGGCCTGGAAAGCAAAAGATGGCAAGAGAAAAACATTGCAAAGCTCCTGAGAGGAAGCTTCACACATGGATGACAGGACGGTCAGCTGGAGCTTTATTTTTCCAGACCTTGGGTAACAAAGGCAACAAAGGATCCCATGGCTGTGACCAGCAATGAGGAGGAGGGACTGCAGGACTCAGGTGAGCCAAAATATGCTGGGTAAGTACTAGAAGAATGAGCAGGCTCCCCCCAAGCTTTAACATCACAGATGGTCCAAGGTGAGGTGGCTGTATGTCCATGGGAAGTGTGTGAGTGCATTAGAAACTATGAGAAACATCAGCTAAGCCAAGGTGCAGGTTAGCCCCCTGGATCTCTCTGCAGGCCCCTCTGAAATCAGCACATAATGAGTGCTTTTGTATTCAGGCTATTTCTCTCACTGCCATTTCATGGACTGGCAAGAGGAAGGGGAGGATCCCTTTCAGTCCAAGGACACGCAAAGAGATGGTGTTTTATTATCCCTAATTGGATGGGACAGAGATTAGATGTCACAAAGGGGACAAATCAAAGCTGGAGACGTTTCTTACTTCCTGGTTCATGGGATAAATGCTGAAATATGTTGAGGTTTCTGCAGTGGTAAATGTTTGTTTGCTATAATATGATGGATCTGCTAATCTCTGTGAAAGTTCCTCAAAGGCAGCAAACTTCTTTCTTGTAAGCAATGTTAGTGATTGGGAACAATTGGCTTTGTGCTTTAAACCAATCAATTTTTATAAGGTTCCATTGAGTTTTTGTATTATCAATTGAGTGGTCAGATGTGAAACACTATTTTCTTCACAGGCTACAGCATTTAGTCGTGCTGTTCACTGCATAATGCTCTGGTGTCTCCTGAGCCCCGTGTTTATTCTGGTGGGGAAGTGTGTGTGTGTCTGTACAGCCAGGTAAAACGCAGAAGCCACCACTCAGCACTTCCATTTACCTCTTTCTTACCACTGTCTCTTTGCTTTCAACCACAGCCAACCTAACTGTCATCTGTGCCAAATTACAAGCACCCGGGCTACATCACAAGGTCCTCCCTGCAGACATTCATTCTCCTGAATGACAGCATTCACGTGTTCTTCAAGGCAGCAGGACTTTGCCTCGTCAGCCTGAGCAAATGCAGCATTTCCACAGTGGACCAGAAACTCATCACGGATGGCTATTGCATGACACAGCTGCTGGTTGTGCCAAGAAAGCCAGTAACACAGGAACTCAGTGCGAGGTTATCCTCTGTGTAACAAAAGCACTTAATAGATGGCGCCAGGATCGCTCTGCGATCGAGAGGGAAGGAAGAAATCTCACCCACGGGCCTTGACTGCTTTTTGTAGTGTGTAAAAACAAAAAAAAAAAAAATGCAAGTTTTAGGCATGAGAGCAGGGGAACGCTCTATAGCACAGCTCTCACGCCTGCTGCTAACAGCCCAGCGTGTGCCTTCACTTAAAGGAAACTGGCAGGGCCAGGAGTGCTGTGCCCCACCAGCTGCTGCTGTGCCCAAAGCTGCCGTCCTGGGGCTCAGCTGTGAACCACAGACCTGCACAATCATCAGATCGTTTCAACTGGAACAGATACTCCAGATTATCACATCCAACCATCACGCTGCCCTACCGCATCCCATCACTAAGCAATGCCCTTGGTGCCATGTCCACGCAATACCTGCACTGCCTCCCCGGGCAGCCCATTCCAACGTTTAACACTGCTAACGAATACATTCGAGTCGCCTTACTGCAGCGCGCGGTCTCCTCTCGCACGCCGGCCTCGCCCCCGCCCTACTAACATAAGATGGCGGCGGGTAGCCCGCGATCACGTGACGCGCGCACGGCCCTTCCCTCCCCCTCCCGCCAGCTCCCGGCGCCGCGATGACGTCAGCGACACCGGGCGGACCCCGTGACCGGAAGTTGTCGGGGGGGAGGCGGAAGTGAAAGCGGGGAGGTGGTTGGGCCCGATAAAGCCGACCGAGACGAGCGGGGGAGGGACAGCGAGGTTCGGGCGGGCGCTGCGGCACACGCACCACGGTGAGCGGCGGGGGGGGCGCGCACGCGGCGAGGCGCCTGTGCTCGGGGCTGGGTTGGGGGTGCCGGCTCCGGCCCAGCTGCTGCTGCTGGGCGGGGGGTGCCGCTCGGGCCCCTCCCTGCGGCCGGAGGCGCCTCTGGGGCCGGCTGGGTTAGGGGGGCGCCGCCTTTGTGCTTCACCTGAGCTCGGCCCGGTGCCGGAGTGGCAGCCGCCCGCCCTGGGGGTGATCCAGGGCGGTGGAGCCGAGCTGTCGCCTCCCCAGGGCTGGGCCCGGTGCTTCTCCCGAAACAATGGAGCCGAGGGCTCTCTGGGAAAGGGCTTCTCCGCCCGGCGCCTCGGGCACGGCGGCACGAAGGCCTTCCTCGGGCTGTGCGTTTTCTCCAGGCCTGTGTGTGTGTCCTCGCTGTGAGGTGCCCGCGGTGGTCCCTCGCGAAGCACAGTGCGTTGTGTGTGGCGTGCTGCGCTGCTCCTTGCCGGTAGGGTAGGGCTGGGGGCCGGGGCTGTCCATAATGCTGGGGGGTGGGTGGTGGCTGTGCTTGAAGTGGGGGGGGGGGGAGGGAGGGGGGCGCCTGGGTGCTGCTTTGAGACAAGCAGGCTGCCTAGGGAGCGATTTATGCTGCCAAACAGGAGGCTGGGAGAGCTGGCAGTTATTGCGAAAGGAGCTCTCGGCATGTGCAAAGCCTGACTCAGTTCTGAGCAGTATGAGAGTGGATGTTGGAAGTGCTTTTTGTTCTGAGCGTAATAAAGTAAATGAAATGATGGATGCATTATTAATGCCCAGGTATATTGAGCCTAATAAAGATAGGAATACTTAATGATTGTATTTAAAAAGAAGTGTGCTTTGCTTCTTGTAAATAGTGGAATTCTTGCAGTAGTAAGGCAGTTATTAAAAGAATAGGCTGCTGTAATCTGAAGGGAAAGAGGTAACTGCATCAGAATGAGTAAGTCTTACCCAGTAGCTCTGAGTTGTTTAAGTAAAAGCTGGAATTCTCAACACTGTTTTCTTGCAAGTGAAGAATACTTGCTGATAAACAGAGTTGTTGGGATGTGTATTGGTTTTTTTTATGAGTAAACTGAGAACACATGATAGAACAAAGTCCTCCCAACTGTAAGCAAGCTGTTCTTTGTTTGATAACTACGAATTGGAAATATTAAAGCTTCCAGCACCTGGCTGGCCAGCTCTGACCTGTGCTTAGCACTGTGCCTTTTGGTGTGGGTTAGTGCTGGGGAAGTGGGGAGTTCCTTTTGGGAGCAGTACATAACCAGCAGTATGCAGTGCTTGGCTGTGATTTCAAGGCTCCCTAGTGGCTGTTCTGTGTGTGATCAGTGGTGGTACTAGTGATGTGTGATAGAGGCTGCAGCCTTGCTGTGCCTCCAGCTGGGCTGGGCTGGCAAAGCGAATGTACTCTGCACTTAAAAGATAGATTTGAGGTTGTCTTGGGTGGAGTTGTTTGAATATTCCTTGTTTAATAATCAGAACTCCGTTGCTGTGCTTCTTCAGGAAGAACAAGTATACTTGTCTCTTTTTCCCCCCCCTCCTTGTGACTTCCAACAGCTGACTGAACACATGACTTGCTCTCCATGAACTAATGAGCAGGCTCACCATGCCTTTAGAACCCAAAGTAGCTCTAATAATGCCACTTCCAAGTGCTGCCCTTTTCTGTACTGTTAATATTCCTGTGAGATGGGGGGTTAATCTTACCCCTCAACAGGGAAAACTGACAGAACTACTAGTAGTTTCTTGCTTTCTTCACCTGCAGCATGAAGTATAACTGGTAAGGTCTGAAATTCATTAAATTAAACTTTCCTTTTGCCCATGGTGTTGTGCAGTGGCCAGTGTCCTCAAATACTCTATTAATAGTTCAGCATGGCCCACTGAGACTTACACCTTAAAATGGAAAGGTGCCAAGGTAAAAGCTTAAATAACTGTTGCAGTGACTGTGCTACAGTCATCCTTTCCCTTCTGCCAAATTCAGTGCATCAGCCACCGTCCAGAGCAGCACAGATGTGTTGTGAAGCAGGTGAATCCTGAATTGTAAACGGAAAGCATACAAACTGCTACTGAATCTCTCCTGAGTTTTATCTGAGGAAAACAACATCCTTTGTTTTCTACCCAAAACCAATGTTTGGGGAAAGAGATCTACCAGATTGAATTTCTGAAGCACCTTCTTAAAGCTACTGCTTTAAGGCTGCTGGCTTGGAAGGTCATGCGAATTACCTGTCAGAGCAAATCTCTGGCAAAACTTGTCCTTGAGGAAACATGACAATTAAGATCAAACCATCTGTGCAGAACTATATGTAGTTTTGTTTCTGGCATGTATGAGATTTTAGTCTGACTTCTCTGCAAAAATGAGACTAGCTTATGTGGAACTTAACATTTGACTGTAAACAAAACTGCTTGTGCTGGATTAGGATGTTCTTTCAAATGTTTCATCCAGAGATGGGTGCTTGGTGAGCCTGGGCTTAGGAATGAAGGCTGTGGAATAAGGCACAGGGTGTTTGCATTTCTGAATGAGCTTAGGAGTGTCTGGGCTCACAGATGCTTGCTGTCCCTCCTGTTGTAGCATACCAATTTCTTTAATAACAGAAGTAAACTAAGTGTGCAAAGTGAGAGTTTGCTTACCAGTGTTCTCTGCCTCCTGGGCTTTCCCATGGCTGTGACCTGTGCTGCTCTGAAGCACCTGCTAGGCTTGCTGGTACTGAGGTCCTTTTGGCAGAAGGGGGTGCAGATGAAAATGAACTTGGTGCTGAACTTGGCTGAGTGCTAGTATGTTTATGCCTTGTATGCTGGTCTGACAGCAATCCAGCATCCTTCAGATACTGAAGCACTTCTTTGCACAGCATTGTTTTGATAATTGCAGTTTAATTGCCTGTTGGAGTTGGGTTGACTTACCCCTGCAGCCTTTCAAAATGATCTCCTGCCGTTGCTGTGTAGCAGTCTGCCTTCAGACACAGAGAAGTTGTGGCACTAAATTGTGAGGGTAAAAGGTTGCTTTCTGCAATAATGGTCCAAACATGGGCTCTGCTTCTCAAAAACGGGATTGAGCACGGTAACAAATTGAATGACAGTAGCTAACATAGCATTTGCTGTTTTACAGTTAGCTGCCTTATTAAAAGGTTACTTCCCTTTAAATGTGATTTGAATAAAACTTCTAAATGAGTGCCCAAGGTCAGTGGCTCCAGTTGTGCTATTCAGAAATAGTAGGCAGTTAAGGGAGGCTCCTATCACATGGCTGCTGCTAGCTTTCAGTATGCTTGCTTCTCCTGCTGCATCCCCACAAACAGTGTGCTTGAACTCTGCATGCTGCTGCATTTACTGCTTGCTGGAGATCTGCTGTGATGATGTCATTGTTGCTGTTACTGCTGCTCCTGTGAGACTGCTTCTCCTTCCTGGTGCCAGAGCCAGCACTCCATGCATGAGAAAGCTGTGTCAACACTGCTGTTGCTAACTCATGCTCGGTCAGTGACGGAGGGGAACAAGCTTGTCTGGGCCACAGAAGTGTGTTGATTTACAGCTGATCTCAAATAGCCTTGACGTCTCTTGCTGGGAAGCCTGTTCTGAGGGCACGACTGTTCTCACAGGGCGGAGCGGCTTCAGGAAAGGTGCACTGCACTTGACATGGATTGCAGTGTAAACTTGTGCCAAGAATCCTATTTGTGCAGTTTGAAAGCACTTGAGGTAGTGAGTGATTTGCCCTCCTGCCCATCCAGAACTATCACCTGAAGCTGACGTTTCATATCTAACTGTGCTTGCTTGAGTTTTAAGCAGAAATTCCTAAAATAAATGGATAGATCTTTATGTAGCTACTCAAGGAAAACTCCTGGAGCCTGTACTAGCTCACTGCATGTTGCAGCTTTGATCACCTGGCAGACTAGCTGGACTAGTTAAGCAGTGGGTGAAAGTGAAGGCAGATAGCTGGAGCTTGCCTTTGGAGGCTTCCTGGCTGTGGAGTACTGGACTTTGATTGCTGGGACTGCCAGTCTTATCTAATGAGTCCTTACCAAACACTGGGTCTCTCTTTGCTGGAAAGCAGCTTGAATGGTAGCCTGCTTGGTGTTCATCTCTTCCAAGTGGGCTGAGTCACTTGGCTCTGTAGGTTTCTCCTCAACTTGACTCCTGGATACTGCTAATGTATCTGAACTGCAATCTGGCACTGTGGTAATATTGGCTTGAGCATGAGTGGTGAGACAGCTGCAACGAAGGCATCCCTAGCCCTGATCTTCCCTCTGGCAAGAAGATGTAGCTTACCAGTGCTGTCTTATGAATAATATGCAAGTCACTTCAGTGAAACTGTTCTAGTCCTTTGCGGAGAATAAGAGAATAACTGAGCTGGTAAATGTTGCAGGAGCTGTGCAAGGGGGAGTAAGGGGCAAAGTATGAGTTTGAAACAATCTCCACTGTAGGAATTCCTTGTTAGATGTTGACTCAGCTGTCATGGTAAGTGTTTCCCTCCCATCCTGGGACTGTAATACTTGTCCTTCCTGCTCAGCAAACTGCGGTAGCATAGTAAGAGGTATTGAGTATGAGTAGGATCAGGACTTCTGCTCACAGACCTAGGTGTAGTTCTTAGATTGCAGTGTGTCTCTGGAAGAAGTCACCTGTCTTTGAGCAGACTTATTCTCAAGAATAAGACTTCCTGAAATAAGAGGAAGGATGTTGCTGTTAATGCTGGTTTTGTAGTTCTTCACATTTGCATGTATGGGATTCAGTA